TGCCTACATTGCCATATCGTTAATGGTTGTTAATTAATCCATTTCTTTCTAGGGCTTTGCCATTAAATTAAGCCCATTTAAACCTTCAAGGTGTGTTGGTCTTCTCAGGTCCAGGAAAAAGTGTCAGGTCATCACAAGTGCAGGGCAGAAGGGACCCAATACAATTCAGTGGCCCCAAACAGATGCCTTTCATTTCATGCAGCACATGTGCATGACATCATGTGTGTAATCTCATGCATGTGCAGTATCACAAATATTTTTAAAATGGTGGTGCAGAAACGGGGACCTAGGCAGTACAGAAGCAGGACAAAGTTAAGCTGAGTATGAAGAAAAAGTCACAAGGACATATACAGTTGTGCTCAAAAGTTTGCATACCCTGGCAAAAAAGTTGACATTTGGGCATTGATATTAAAAATATGACGGATCATGCCAAAAAACTGTCTTTTATTTAAGGATAGTGATCATATGAAGCCATTTATTATCACATAGTTGTTTGGAACCTTTTTAAATCATAATGATAAAACAAATCACCCAAATGGCCATGATCAAACGTTTCCCTCCCCTGGAATGTTTGGCCTTGGTACAGACACACAGGGTGACACACACGGGTTAAAATGGTAATTAAAGGTTAATATCCCACATCTGTGGCTTTTTAAATTATAATTAGCATCTGTTTCTAAATAGTCAATGAGTTTGTTAGCTCTTACATGGATGCACTGAGCAGACTAGATACTGAGTCATGGGGAACAAAAATGAACTGTCAAAAGACCTGTGTAACAAGGTAATAGAACTTTATAAAGTTGGAAAAGGATATTAAAATATATCCAAAGCCTTGACTATGTCATCACATGGAGCAGCGCATGCATGGGTGCCCCCATAGCAATCTGCTTGCTGTGGGGGCACCCAACAGGGGGGAGGGGCCAGGATCGTTGGCAGGAACCCAAGAAGAGAAGGATCCAGGCTACTCTATGAAAAACCACTGAACAAAGCAGGTAAGTATAGACATGTTTGTTATCTTTTGTTTTCTTTTAAAGCCTTTAGAATCCCTTTATAAACAACCACACCATTGTCTTCCAGAGCAGCCTGTATTTCTCCTGAGGTTACCTGAGGGGTTTTTTTCTTTGTATCCCGAACAATTCTTCTAGTAGTTGTGGCTGCAATCTTTCTTAGTCTACCTGACCTTGGCTTTGTATCGAGAGATCCCTGAATTTTCCACTTCTTAATAAGTGATTGAACAGTACTGAGTAGCATATTCAAGGCATTGGATATCTTTTTATATCCTTTTCCATCTTTATAAAATTTTCATTACCTTGTCACGCAGGTCTTTTGACCGTTATTTTCTGCTCCCTATGTCTCCGTGTCTAGCCTGTTCAGTGTATCCACATGAGAGCTAACAAACTCATGGACTATTTATACACAGAAACTAATTGCAATTTAAAAAGCCACAGATGTGGTAAATAATCCTTTAATGACTATTTTAACCCGTGTGTATCTGTACCAAGGTCAAACATTCCAGGGCCATTCCGGTGATTTCTGTTACCATTGTGATTTGACAATGAGTCAAACAACTACGTGATAATAAATGGCTTCATATGATCACTATCCTTAACCCCTTCCCGCCAGCACCTCCTGGCCCTTTAAGGGTTTCAGAAGGCGAGAGGCGGTGCGGCGTTTAGAGTCATGTGACCGCCGTGATGCGCCGTCACGGCGGTCACATGATCGGTAAAGGTCCCGATTGAAAGAGGAGGTCGGGACCTTTTTCCGTGAGTACCGGACATGTGTGCTTGGAGCGCACAGGGTGCGCGCTCTCAGCACATATGTTCTTTTTTAATAGAACGCAAATGTGTGGCCGCTCGGCGTCTAGGCCCAGACGGCGGAAGGCCGCACATTTGCGTTCGGCCGGCGTGAAGAGGTTAAATAAAAGACAGTTTTTTGGCATGATCAGTCATATTTTAAGATCCATGCCAAAATGTCACGATTCCTATGCAAACTTTTCAGCACCACTGTAGGGTTGGATGAGGGGAGTTCCTCTTTAGACCAACTTCTTTCAAACAGGAATGCCCATAGATGGATTAAAATTTTGTCCCTGCTGAACTGTCCAAAATTAAATCCATCTATGGCCAACTTTAATCTCCCTAATGGGGACTGTTCAGTGATATATATAACAGTCTGTATGTCTCTCTCAGACAGTCACTCTGTGTGGTGATATATAACAGTCTGTATGTCTCTCTCAGACAGTCACTCTGTGCGGTGATATATAACAGTCTGTATGTCTCTCTCTCTCAGACAGTCACTCTGTGCTGTGATATATAACAGTCTGTATGTCTCTCTCTCTGACAGTCACTCTGTATGGTGATATATAACAGTCTGTATGTCTCTCTCTGACAGTCACTCTGTATGGTGATATATAACAGTCTGTATGTCTCTCTGACAGTCACTCTGCGCGGTGATATATAACAGTCTGTATGTCTCTCTCTCTGACAGTCACTCTGTATGGTGATATATAACAGTCTGTATGTCTCTCTCTGACAGTCACTCTGTATGGTGATATATAACAGTCTGTATGTCTCTCTGACAGTCACTCTGCGCGGTGATATATAACAGTCTGTATGTCTCTCTCTCTGACAGTCTCTCTGTGCGGTGATATATAACAGTCTGTATGTCTCTCTCTGACAGTCACTCTGTGCGGTGATCTATAACAGTCTGTATGTCTCTCTCTGACAGTCACTCTGTGCGGTGATATATAACAGTCTGTGTGTCTCTCTCTCAGACAGTCACTCTGTATGGTGATATATAACAGTCTGTATGTCTCTCTGACAGTCACTCTGTGCGGTGATCTATAACAGTATTCATGTCTCTCTCTCTCAGACAGTCACACCTTGCGTTACTTTTACACGGGGGTCTCAGCTCCAGGTTCGGGTCTGCCTGAATTTTCCACAGTTGGATATGTAGATGATCAGCAGATTGAACATTACAGCAGTGACACAGGTCGGGATCGTCCGGTGGCCCCCTGGATGAATAAAGAAGGACCAGAGTACTGGGATGAGGAGACACAGGTTTCTAAAGGCATGGAGCCTGTATTCAAACACAATGTGAGGACAGCGATGAGTCGCTTCAACCAGACTGGAGGTGAGACTTGCTCTGCTATATACACACATCACTGAACACATACTAAACAATATACAAATTCTATATACTGTAAGTCTGTTATTACATAATGTACATTACACTGCAGAATTCTAGTTAACAATTTACCTATTTTATTTAACTCACTATATCTTTTACACAGAATGTTTTATTTTTATGTTGTGATTCTCAGATGTTTCCATTAGATATAGTCAGTGCTCCCTAAGCCTTGATTCACATTATTTTCATGTTGGGGGCGTGAATACAATCGCACACATTCCCCACATGTGAAAGGAACGTGCTGTCCTTTAGCAGATGCTCGGGTGTGCTATTGATTTTTTAACGGCACCCCATGCATTAACAAAATGTCTGCAATTTCATGCTGTGCAATTTTTCATAAAGCATCAGGGACTTCTTTCCCCACATTTCTGCAGGTAGGATAGCAGCCCGCTGTAATGAATGATTGCTGTACATGCAGAACGCATCCACACAGGTGTGAACTGGGGATAATACTTTAGTTCAGGTTTGATGTTTCTTTACCCCATCATTCGCTATAGAGACAATGCTTGTGATTTTTTTTTTTTTTTTTCCAGTCAGATGACTGTCAGCCTGGTATGTTTTTTAACAAGCCAAGATGAGCCAATCAGGTCCCCATAGTCAGCATCAAACCTCAAACATGAGGCATAGAAATATGGATTAGGCCTCGTGCAGACCGGTACAGGAGGCCATATAACATACATTGTGAGTGGATTCCACACTCAGTCCTCATGCACACTTGACGTTTCCTCACACTGCTGATAACAGCCGCATTACAAACGCTAGTTTTTCAGAGTTTTTGCATAGTGTTTATCTGCGTTAGCATTTTACAGCTGAAACCTCTCACTTTTCTATTTGTTACCTCCCACTTTCCGAGACTGCAAAGGACAATGGGAAATGGTTCAGCAGGACACTGTCACTTCCTATTTTGCACCCAGTGCTGTAATCTGAGACAATAGGACTGCAAAGGACAATGGGAAATGACTCAGCAGAAGCATGCAGTATGTCAACAAAGCCAAAGAGAACAAAGCCAATAGAGCTGCAAATAAACTTTGGTATGATCTGGTTACATGTAGGACATGTAGAAGCAAGAGCATCCCAAACAAAAATTGGAAAAAGCAGTAATAATTTTTCCTTTTCCATAAAATCAAATTTTTTAAAAAAAAAGTAACTTTAAAAATGCTAAAAAAACAGCCGTTTTTGCGGTTTACCACATTTTACCACGTCTCAGCGTTTTTTATAGCTGAAAAACTCCTCTAGAGAAACCCACTAGTTTTGGGGTTTTTTTTCCAGCCAAAAAACATTGATTACAGCCTATGTATGCATGGACACACAGGATAATAAACTATTGGCTTTTTTCATGCCCGCCAGCCACGGTCCACAACAACATGATGCCAGTGGCGGAGCTCATGGTCCACAGATTCAGGCGAAAGTGGTGCGCTGGTTTTCACTATCCTGGCTGCTGTTAACTCTACACAGAGGACTTGGTAGCCCTTAGAGTTTCCCTCCGGTGCCTCCACACTATTCATTAACCACTTGCCTACCGGGCACTTATACCCCCTTATTTACCAGGCCAATTTTCAGCTTTCAGCGCTGCCGCACTTTGACAATTGCGCGGTCATGCAACATTGTACCCATATGAAATTTTGATCATTTTTTTCTCACAAATAGAGCTTTCTTTTGGTGGTATTTAATCGCCACTGGGCGCTTTACTTTTTGCGCTATAAACAAAAAAATTGCAAAAAATTTGAAAAAAAAAAAAAAAGTTTCTTTGTTTCTATTATAAAATTTTTCAAACAGGTAATTTTTCTCCTTCACTGATGTGCGTTGATGAGGCGGCACTGATAGGCAGCACTAAAGGGCACTGATAGGCAGCACTAATGAGGTGTCACGGATAGGCGGCACTAATATGCAGCACTGATAGGCGGCACTGATAGGTGACACTGATGATGGGTACTGATAGACGGCACTGACTGGCATCACTCCTGGGCACTGACTGTTGGCACTGACTGGCACAACCGCTGGGCACTGACTGGTGGCACTGACTGGCAGCACTGCTGGGCTGCACTGGTGGGTAACACTGGTGGGCAGTACTGGTGGGTGGACACAGGTGGGTGGCACTGGTGGGCACAGGTGGGTGGGCACAGGTAGGTGGGCACTTCTGGGCACAGGTGTGTGACACTGCAGAGTGGCACAGGTGGGTGCACTGCTGGGCACAGGTGGGTGATCTGCTGGGCACAGGTGGGCGGAGCTAGTGGGCGCACTGCTGGGCACAGGTGGGAGGAACTTGTGGGTGGCACTGCTGGGCACCGATCATCAGGGCACTGATCATCAGTGCCCTGATGATCGGTGCCGATCCCCGCTCTGACAACTGCCGGTTCTCGGCAGTACTTTCCTCACGATCTGACAGCGTGAGGAAAGTGCAGCCGAGAACCGGCAATTGAATTTCCCGGTGATCGGGCGTGTCATTGGACACGGCTTATCACGTGGTAAAAGGCCGCTGTGATTGGCCTTTTACTACATCACGTGATCAGCTGTGTCCGTAGGACACAGCGATCATGGAGATCGCCGAGTGCGCGCCCCCTGGGGCGCACAGGAGAGAGCGTTCTGGGAGGACGTCATATGACGTCCACCCAGAACTGGCCGGCCGCAGTGCAGCCGTCATTCGGCTATCTGCGGTCGGCAACTAGTTAAGAATCCAATTAAATCTAGGCTCCACGAGGAGCACCAGGGGTGGTAAGAGAACACCTGGTGCACATGCAGACTCTTATACAGACTCCATTGCAGACTTCCCTACCACCAACACCCCTATACTTGTAACTACCTTGAAAGAAATACTGGTATCCCTGTGTGCGTCCTTACATGTGGACATGTTTTGAGACAAATCAGAGATGATAGAGGATTTAAGTGACAGGATAGATCATGTGGAGACAAAAATGGAGGAATTTACCTCATCCTTCAATGCTCTTGTTGACTTCAATACTGAGAGGCAACAACATAGCAGATTTGGAGAATATCTCAATATAAAGGTGCACTCACCTATTATAGAGAATAATACAGCAGCATGTTGTGTGCCCACAGCAAGGACACTGCATTCTGTGTGCGAGGACATATTGCTGATGATTGTTAATGGACGGCATCAACATCAATCTCTTGCCTGCTCCAGCTATCTAGCAGAAGTTCCCTACGGTATCACACTATGTGGTCTCCTTTATTGGTCCCTATTTTGTGAGGGGCATTCGCAGAGACCGCACTATGGGTGAGCCCCTAAGGTGATACGCATCAAGGATCCCTGAGTGCTGCATGCAGATGTGACTGGGAGTACCCTGACCTGGCCTGACCTGATCTGGGAGGTGGATGACCTGAATCATACCTATTGAGATAGGTTATATCTCAAATGCGTGTATACACGCACTTCTGGTGAGTGCGCATTTCATTTATATTGAACACCTGCCACTGGAAGTAACCCTCCACGCACGCTTATCGGGATCACTTAGGATCCTCACGTGGGCAATACATTTGGGACTTTTTTGCACTTTATTCACCTATTGGTGACATCATTTATGCACAAATTTTATTTATCTATTTTGTACATTTTACATTGGCTTATTCCCGCGAACGATTTGATATTGCTGGAAATCTATGTACTGAGCACATGTTATTGACTTTCTCATGTTGCATAATTTTAAGGAGATTGCATTTTCTCATTTTCTTTTTATATATCGACGAGATCTATGCTGTATATTTAGCATTTGAGCGCTGCACCTTTATATTGAGATTTACATTGGAAGGGTCTGTTTGGTTACCTTTTTTGGTGTTTCAGCTGCTATTTTTCTTTTGGATAGCGCTTGCATATTTACTCTTTATAGATTTGGAGAATAGGTCCCAGTGGAAAAACTTGAAGGTTCATGGAATCCCTAAGACTGTACTTCAGGATCTACTAGCCACATACATCCAACAGTTGTTCCGCTCTATCCTTCCAAACATGTCTGCCACAGAGCTCCCAGTGGATAGGGTCTACCGTCTACCAAGACCATCTCACTTACCTGATACTGTCCAGAGGGATGCAATTCTTAATGTTCATTTCTTTCAAATCAAAGAACAAATTCTGGTGCTCTTCAGAAGTCCTGTTTCTGTGCCAGCACCCTTAAAAAGTTTTGCCGGACATCTGATACACTATGCCACTCGGGAAGAACATGCTAACAGTGACCAATGCTCTCCATAACCACAAAATTCCATTCAAATGGAGATATCCTAACAACCTCATGGTCACACACAACAGCACCATAGTCCGGATCTCTTCATTAGTTGAAGGCCTGCAGTTCCTCAGGAGGATTCTTGTTTGGGGTCAGTGAATACCCCCACTAACCACCTGTCAAATTGGCAAATAGTTTCTTACAAAAAGAAACATAAGAAAACATCTGGAGGGTGGCATCCTACAACTATTTAAACCTTTACTTGATCCCCATGGCCGGTGTGAGCTTAACCACCATAGCCCATTACCCCTCATTTAATAATGTGCAAGTGTAAATGCACCTGGATTGCTGTTAGATCCTTTTTTTTTATGACTTTCTTCTTTACTCAAGTTATTTTGTTACGTGGTTCTTCCCTTGTTCTCAGTTCTATAGCCATTCTATGCAGTACTATGACCGTAAGAGAAGGGCTTCCAAGGACAACTTATGTGATTTATGAAGATCCCAACACTGCTCCTAATCAACCTTCTAAGATTTGACAATGGTGTTCAAAATCATATCAATAAATGTCCACGGCTTAAATCATCCAACCAAGCATTCTTCTCTCTGTAAAGAAGCCCAATCACTTTAGTGTGACATCTTGTGTGTGCAAGAGACACATCCAGGCGGCCTCTCCTCCCAGATGCTCCAATAAACATTTTATTATTTATTAAGAAGAGAAGCTTTCTCATAGCTGTCATTTAGTCTAAAAAGATCCTACCTGGAGACCAAGATGGGAGGTACATAATTTTGGTATGTACTATTGACTCCAAACCATATACTTTAATCAACCTCTATCCAGTCCGCTTCTTAAAGTCCGCAGACACATCTCTGCTTCCAAGGAAGACTCTCTGATCATCTGTGGAGACTTTAACTATGTTATGGATACGCAGATGGACTCTACCACCCTCACCAAGCCACATTACTATTTCTTGCAATGCTTTATCCATTCGGCAGGTCTGTTTGATGTCTGGTGCTGCCAGCATGCAAACGGAAAAGATTTTACATTTTTCTTGAAATGACATACTACTTATTCCAGAATTGCAAAATTTATATGTTCTTTGTTGTTAAGCATTTACTTCAGAAGGTCTCCTCCTCCCACGATCCACAACATTACTTAATCTGACCACACTCCTATTTCCCTAGTGATTACGGAGAATGGGCGCAATTCTTCTATGCATTTGTAGCGATGCAATTTTAAGTTGCTACAATCACCTGACCACTCCCCTCCTGAAACACTTGACTGATTTTTTGTGACAATAACACTAGCTCAAAAGTAGATCCTTTCATTCTCTGGAACGCCCATAAGGCGTATATGAGAGGAATGCCCATTCACTTAAGCGCAAGAGATAAACACCAAATAGAAGATATTATACATAAAATTCAGAACTTAGAGACCCTAAAACAAAACGCCCCACCTATCAGACCACTGCAAACATCACCAAATTACCCTACAATCTGCTTAGGTTACTCCTATATTTATGTGAGCACCAGACCACAGCACTAAGATTAAATCATTATGCCTCAGGCAACCAAACAGGTAAGATCTTGGAGAGGAGACTAGCTGTCCAGAGAACTAAAACCAAAATTCCCTTCCTCCTACACCCGGCTAAGAAACACAAGATAAATGCTGACTCATTTTCTACCTATTAGTCCTTATACAACTTGAAAGATGACCCCAACACTATACAGCCCTCAGACTCCACTATTGAGGTCCTTCTAGGTAAACTGCACTTACCTTCCTTATCTTCGTTACAACTTTATAGTCTTAAAATACTGTTCACAGAAGTAGAAATAAAAAAAAATTGTTGCTACTCTTCCTCATGGCAAATCTCCAGGACCGGATGGTTTTGTATCTGAATACTATAAAACCTTCCAGAGCACTCTCTCATCGTATCTTAAGACCTTTTTTGACATAGCCACTATGAAATCAACTTTTCCACCTACGATGCTTAAAGCCCATATATTCACTATCCCAAAACCAGCAAAGATCCTACGACCCCACAAAACCTGCCACCAGATGCATAATAAATGCCATCTATCGTGCCAAATCTGCTCAAATACCCTCCCTATTATCCATCGATGCTGAGAAAGCATTCAACCACATTCATTGGTCCTTCAAATTCCATACCCTTGCTACATTTGGCTTTAGTGTACTCCTATATGATGCTATCCATGCTGTATACTTCAGTCCTGCCATACACGTGGAGTGAAAAAGGATTCCCATACCTCAGTAATACACTTTCATACAATATAGCAAAAAAATCCATTTTGAACCCCTAATAGATAAAATTGTCAACTAATTCTCTTGCCTAAAAAAAAATCTCAATTTGTTATGGACAGCCAGACTGGCTTCATTCAGAAATCTTGTCTTACCCAAAATTCTATTCATATTTAGAACACTCCCGATTCCAGTGCCTTCAAAATATCTAACGCTAAACTTTACAAATGTTTCCTATGGTTGGGCAAAAAGCCTAGATTGTCTAACTCTATGCTTCTGAAACACAGACAGGCAGGAAGAGCGGGCGCTATAGATCTAGCAGACTACCTTGCTGCCACTCGCTTAAACCAACTTGGTTGTTGGTTCCGCCAAACCCCTGAACCATCTTGGGTAGGCCTTGAATCCGCCCTTGCTCCTGGAAGAAACCTCTCTCTCTTCCTGATATTAGATGCTTGGAGATCCTGGCAGCTGAAAATTTTACCACCTACTATTCACAGTTCCCTGCTAGCTTGGAGAGCACTACTTAATAATTCCCAAGTCAGCACGCATGTCTCACCATTACCATTCCTGATCACTCTTGTCGAGTACATTATCCCATACCTCAATTCAAACATGAGTAGTGATACATAACATTTTAGACCTTTACACTCACAACAATCTTAAAAGTTGAGATTCACTTAAAGAATTTGGTCTGTCAAATGCAGAAAGATACCGGTACCGGAAAATATCCCACGCCCTCCTTTCTCTTCCCTCAAAGATCAGTTGGCCCCCATGGTTTGGA